AAAAAAAAAAAAAGGCTTCCTCCCTGCCACTATCATGACCCCAATCCTACCTTACAAATCCGGCTAGACCAGAGCATGTACATGGGTACAGATAAGAGCTGGAAACACAGGGAATCCAGGGCAGATAAACCCCTCAGGACCTATATTGAGAGTAGCAATACCAGGAGGGTCAGGGGAAGGTGGGGGTTGAAATAGGAAACCAATTACAACGATCTACATATAATCCCCTCCCAGGGGGACTGAAAACAAATAAGTGGGTGAAAGGAGACATCGGTCAATGTAAGACATGAAATAATAATTTACAAATTATGAGGGAGGAAGTGAGAAGGAAAAAAATGAGCTGATACCAAGGGCTCGAGTAGAAAGAAAATGTTTTGAAAATGATGGCAAGAAATGTACAAATGTGCTTGACACAATGGATGGATGTATGGATTGTGATAAGAATTGTATGAGCTCCCAATAAAATGATTAAAAAAATAGCACACAGGCAGCAACACATGCTGGAGAGGATGTAAGGAGAGAAGGGGAGAGCTCTCCCACTGCCGGTGGGGCTGTACAACTGTACACACACACCACACCCCACCCCCACCCCCGCGGAAAGTAGTGGTGACACTCAAGACAACTGGGCACAGAAATACCATCTTTCTACTTGGTACGTAACTTCAAGAAGTAGGGAGGGAAACACGAGCGGATCCATGCACACCGATGTTCCGTACACCGGTTCACCAAAGCGGGAGCCCTGGTGGTATAGGGAGTACACGTGGGGCTGCAATCCACATGGTTAGCAGTTCGGAATCACCATGCACACTGGGCTGTCTACTCTGGAAAACCCACGGTGGGGGGGTGGGGTGGTGGTCACTAGGAGTCAGTCCTGCCTTGCTGGCAGTGAGTTTGGTTGGGTTTACTCACCAGAACAAGAGGATGGGCACCTCCATACCGCCCATCGGTGAGAGGACAGATAAACAGGGTTTGGGGCACACACACCGTGGAACACTGTGCATCCCTAAAGAATAATGATGCACCTGTCAAACACCTCAGCACCTGGACGAATTTGGAAGATAATATGCTGAGCCAAGTTCGTCAGTCCCCTAAAGATAGCCACTATGAATGCAGTATTGCACAAGAATCCAGAAAAAATGGTTTTTCACACCAAAAGAAGCAGACTTTCATACAGAGAGGCAGGGAGAGGGAAGAAATAAATGGAATGTATTTTAAAAGATCCACATAGTGACACACACAGATAGACAGACTGTGGCACAGAGTCACACACATAGAACGTAGCAAGTAGGTAACATGGGTAGACACGGGAAACAGGTAATACTTAGATACGAGGAGATAGAAGCACAGCCGTCTCAAGTAACAAGCTCAAACATCCTTATCTCAAATATGTATGTCACAACCAGGCAGGTAACATAGATACCAATATTATTTTTAATAAAAATTAAAAAGATAAGCAACCTCACTATGCTTGCTGCTGCTACCACCGGGCACCCCCGACTATGGGGATCTGTCCGTCTGTAGCTATCTTAGACTTTTAACTTCCATCTCTTCTTCTCTCCCCTCAAACTGCACTCCACTAAAACTTACACTATAAGTATCAGACCTCTCCCAGAGTCAGCTTGGTCAAGGCACCCATTGGAGCAGGCCAAGAGGATCCCACTGGCTCCTTTCACCTGATGATCGGAAAAATCCTTCCGGCTATATAAACTTGCAGCCTCTTCCCTCCTCCCAGACGCGTTGGCTAGATCGCACCCAGGCAATCTATCTGCAGACATACACGCGGATGTGTTCAATAACCCTGGTCAAGTCACTGCCTACCCTTTGCTACTCTTTTAATTTCTCACGATGTGACTGCTCACAGGAGCCCTGGTGGGACTGCCCATTGAGGTACTAACCCAAAGCCAGCCGTTCGAACCCACTAGCTGCTCCGTTGGAGAAAGATGAGGCCACCTATCTGCCCCTGTAAAGAGTTACAGCCTCAGAACCCCAGAGGGGCAGTTGTGCTCTGCCCTCCAAGGTCGCTCAAGAGTTGGACTAGATTCAAGGGCACCGGATTGGGTTTGTCTGGTCAATGTTCACAAATGTTAAAAAAAAGTACATTTAATACAAAAAGGGAAAGTCACATCTGCGAGTGATCACTTTTTTCCTCCAGCCCAGGTCAAGAGAGAAATGCATCGTTCTCACTGCTGATGAAGACGGAATGGCACCAGGTTCATCCATGCCCGGGCTCCCCGGGAAGTCCACCTGCAAGTGAGTTTTTTGCTTTATCTTCTCTGGAGGTGAAAGACAAGAGTTCATTTATTTACATCACAAAGGTTTACTGCGTGACCACTCTGGGCCAGTCACCCTGGGCTCTGAGGTCATAAAACCAAAAAACCAAACTCACTGATGCGACTCACAGCCACGCTGTAGGACAGGGTAGAGCTGCTCCCACGGGTGTCCAAGACCGAACGCTTGATGAGAGCAGAAAGCCTCCTCTTTCTCCTAAGGGGCTGCTGTTGGTTTAGAACAGCTGGCCTTGCCACTGTGCTCCCAGGGCCCCTTCCCTGAGGGTACAGCAAGGAGGAAACCAGCCTCAAACTCCTGAGGGTTGACTCCTCGCTGGGGAGGACTGACAATTAACAAATAGAAAGCAGACTATTGGTTGTGTCAGGCAGGGATGTGTGCCAGAGATAAAGCAGCAGAGGTAGTCCGGGTTCCAATTTCAACACGGCAGCTGGGGAAGGCCTCGCCAGAAAGGAGCAAGAGAGCTCTTTTTAAGGCAAACACCCAGGGTGCCGGGAACACGACCTTGCAGGGAAGGGGAATGGGAGGGACGAGGGCCAAGAAGTCAGGCCTTCAGGGTGAGCCCACTGCTAGAACATTGATTTTTTTTTTAAATGCTCAGTGGGTTGTGCAACGGATTCATTTCTTTCCAAGACTCCATTTTTCTTCTCCTGCCATCCAGTCGCCACAATACCTTTGAGCATTCCCCCTCTCCGCCCCCTTCGTGTTCCCAGTTGTGGTAGTGTGGCCAGAGGAGGAAAGACTTGGAGAAGAATAAGGAGGGAGAGGTTGGCAGGACAGAAGTGAGCCCTTCTGCGTCCCAGCAGGCCCGGCAGGATCCCCTCCCACCGCCCGCCCAGCAGAACCACCTCTCCCCCAGTTCCCAATCCCTGTTCCTCCTCAGGGTCAGCGCACCGACAGAAGCCACCAACTGCCCTGTGCATGTCCTGTTTCTCCGGAAAGGAGGACATTTTGCAATCATTAGACGGTAGCGCCTGGACTGGCACCTCCCTGCCTTTTGGGCCTGTCTGCACTAGCACCAAGGACTGTGAGCTGCGGCAGGATCTGGGTCCCAGGTTTTATCCTGCACACTTGCCACATCCCTGGGGCTTAGACAGAGTCCTGTGTCCACCTTCCTTTTACCTAGTCAATGAGTGTTTATGTAGTAACTTGTAAAATCATTTTATTGGGGGCTCTTATAACAATCCATACATCAATTGTATCAAGAATATTTGTACATAGGCTGCTATCATCATTTCCTATACATGTACTTTCTATTTGAGCCCTTGGTATCAGCTCCTCTTTTTACCCTCCCTCCCCTACTCCCACCCTCATGACCCCTTGATAAATTATAAATTATTATTATTTTCATATCTTACACTGACCACTGTCTCTCTTCCCCCGTGGTTTATTCCCTCCTCCTCTCCCCACCTTCCCCCTACTCTCCTGGTATCACTGAGTGTTTATTGAGCACCTATTACAGTGGTTGAGGAAGGCCTCTGCACAGGAGGCGGGCGAGCTGGGGCAGCCGAGAGACAGCGGCCAGCCGAACAAAGGGCAGGGGTGCGACCATCGCCCATGACGCCCAGCAAGGGGTGGGAGGCCTGAGATGGGACTGGACAGGCAGACACAGGCCAAACCAGAAAGAGCTGGGTAGAGTCTACACTAGACCACCAGAAAGGAATGGGATTTGATCTTAAATCCCATCAGGCAACCTGGGCAGATTTGAAGCAAGAGAGTGATCAGGACCCAGCTACTCCTTCAACAGATCCTGAGCCCTCCAAGTTCACCCGGGCCTGAGCCAGCAACCACCTGGTCCCGGTTCTTAGAGAGCGCTGCAGTCTGATGAGGGAGAGAGACGCTACTCCACATGTCGGCACCAAACCACCTGAGGGTTCTGCAAGCTAAGCGAGGGCGCTTGGTGAGAGCGTATCAGAAGGAACCAGGGAAGGCATCCTGTGAGGACCCTTCCGCCACAAAGGCCTCCTGCAGGCACGGGGCACACAGCCTGGCCCGGCACTCAGAAGACCCTCCGTTTCCTCCCCCTTCCGAGGACCTTTTCCAGCAAGTCCAAGAGGCAGGGCACACAAAGGCCTAGTGCTATAGCTGCAGTAAGAGAGTCCAGCAGAACCTCCTGAGGGGGGATGGCAGGGAAAGATTGCTTCCTGGTCAAGGGTCAGGTGGGAAGGGTGGGAGAAGATGAAGCAAGGAGCCCCTTGGGTAAACCTGGACTCACCAGGGAGAAGTGGACCTGGAAGGCATTCTCGCAGAAGGATGGGATGTGAAGAGCGTGCATGCGTGGTGGAGGGACTGTGAGTGACCGGCCTGGCTGCAGCCTTGACTGTACACAGGTGGCCACCAAGATCAGATATGGGAACAAAGAAGGAGCAGGGGCCACACACCAAAGCCCAAGCCACAGGGATTCTGAGACTAACAAGGCCACTGACAGATGAGAAGTCAGCAGGGAGCACTGGTGTGGAGGAAGGCAAGTTAGCAGACGACAATGTTAGATGCATCCAGGTTGAAAGATGGTTGGGATATCCGTGCGGGGCCCTGGCCAGCGAGTCTGGAATGGAAATAAGAGATCTGGGGACCCATCAGAAAAGTGCCTCTCTGTCACGGAAATCAAAAGGCCAAGGACAGACCCCAGAGAAACTGCTCCCATTTCCGGTGGGGCTGTTTAAAGATTTCGAGGCACACACTTAAGATGCACACACAAAAGCCTGCCTGGCCGCACTCACAGAAAGGTCTGACACAAAGAGCCAGGGCTGGACTCCAAGAATCCGGATTCCTCCCCAAACACTCCAGATGAAAGACTATATTAAACAGAAGACAGACAGAGCTAGAAAAAGATGCTTTCATAAGGCATCATCATGGGGGAGGGACAACAGGAAAGTGGGTGAAGGGAGACACTGGAGAGTGTAAGACATGAAAAAAATAATAGTTTATAAATTATCAAGTGTGAGAGAGGGAGGCAGGGAGGGGAAAAACTCAGGAGCTGACACCAAGGGCTCAAGTAGAAAGCAAATGTTTTGAGAATGATGATGGCAACACATGTACAAAGGTGCTTGACACAATGGCTGTGTGTGTGGATTGTGATAGGAGTTGTATGAGCCCCCAATAAAGTGGTTTTTAAAAAAAGGCATCATGCAAGGAAGAGGAGAACCGGCGCAGCACAGCACCCAGAAGCAAACTGCAAACTGATGGGTGAGCGAGGAAGCCATGACCCAGCCTGCTCAGAAGAGCTGCGGGGGAGCGCGGGCCAGCTCTGGCGAGGCACTCTGCCAGGTGGGAGAGAATCTGCAAGTATGTTTCTCCAAGCCCTCAGAATGTCCTTATCTTCTGACCCAAGCATCCCATTGTTGGGCAACAGTTAAGGAGCAGTCCTTTGAACAATGAACGGTACATTCTAGGACGGGAGAGGTTCAAGACTGTAGTTAGTTCACCTTAACTGGAAGAATCTTGAGGAAAGACATTGAACTCAAAAGCTCACTAGTACCGATCAAGTACATCTTTAAATCCTCAACAGCCCGCGGGTTTGGTCCTTCCCCCACCACAAATCTTGGCCAACAGCAGTATGCCGATGCACCCGGCGCATCCTCTGGCACTGTTCTCTAGGGACCCGTCCTTCAGTCTGATTCCCTTTGAAAAGTCAAGAACCATGTGTTATTCATCTTCGACACTCCTGTGCACATAACAAGGACTCGTTTGCTGAATGAATGGGCCTCTTTGCTTTTTTATCCGTGACATCTCGCCTCTTCTCCAGTGTGCACAGGGCAACATCGCCGCCCCATTAGTAAACCCACCCCCCTCCCGCGCTCCTGGATCTGCCTTACCTGCGTAGAAGTGGTAGAAGGGCCACCAGACAGCACTGTTGGGGATGTAGGTCAGCAGTGAGGCCACATAACCGCGGTAGAAGCCTCGCAAGCCATCCGTCCGCAGGATCTGCCTGATGATGTCCTTGGTTTGGCCAAAAGCAACCACCCCCTGTCCCTCTGAGCTCCCACGCACCTGGAAGCGGCCCACCTTCTCACCCTTGCGCTGCATCATCAGGTGCTGGGAGACCACATCGATGGGCACCGTGATGCTCTGGGCCACCAGGGATGCCGAGCCGCCAGCCACCAGCGACTTGACCGTGTTGCTCTGGCTGTAGTCGGCCACAAACTTCCGGGTGAGCTCATAAGTGGTGACGTAGCACTGGCCCGAGATGAGGGTGAAGGTGTTGACCAGGAACCCTCGGTAGAGCCCGGTCACCCCATCTGCCCGCAGGATCTTGATGAAGGCATCGAAGGTCCCCTGGTAGAGGCTCTTGCCCTTCTGAACCTGCAGTCGGGTGCGGATGAGGGTGAAGGGGTAGACGCTGACTCGGATCATCATTGTCATTGCCACGCCGAATACGTAGAACTTCTTCTTGTCCAGGTGCTCCCACTCGATGATCTGGATGTTGCGCTTGTCCTCCATGGTACCTGGAGGCAAGGGGATTCGAGCAGGTGGGGTGATCTGAGCACAGGATTCCACCTGTCCCCTACTAGGCACTCACCTCCTGACAGCGGAGCTTGGCCAGAGTCTTCCTACCTGGATTAGCACGCTCCCTTCTCTAGCCTTGACCCATTCTTCCCACCTCCGGGCCCTTCCTCTAGAAGTCACTGGTCACCGCAGTGACCCCTGGCTCTCCTCCCCTCATCCTCTGTGGCTCTCCATCTCCAAGGCCCTGGTGGCACAGTCCTGGGCAAGGATGCTCTCCTGGGCTCACTCAGGCAGAACTCAGGATGGGGCGGGCCAACTGACCACCTGGTAGGACACAGGGCTATGAGGTGGGCTTCAGGGCTATTCCTGTGACAGTGAAGAGGCCCGGAGATGGCACTACCTTTGGCTCTTCATCCTTGGCAGGGTGCCTCTCTTATCGCCATTTACCATCTGACTTACACGGAGGTTCCTGATTTCCAGGGCGGGCCTCTCTGAGACCCCCGGCCCCACACGCTCAGCGTCTCCTATGTTCTCATGTCTGCGTTAGGTCAAGGCGTGGGGAAGAAGGTCAGCAGGGCTTTCATATCACAGGGCACCCCCGCCACCGCCTCTCCTTCCAATGGAAGGAGTTAGAAAGTTAGGCACACGGGCTAAAGGTCAGAGTCCTCTTTGGTTATTAGATAACTCTGACCAGGGAAAGACAAAAAGCGTCGAGTAGCTTCCCTGTGACGCCTTGAGAACTGTGGGGTAGGGAATCCGTTTGACCCTTTCCATCCTAAGCAGAGACCCCGCCACCCCCGTCCTGGGCAGCGAAGGGAGAGTCAAGTGACAGCAAAGACACAGGCTCGGTCTTCGAGAGACTACTTTGTCCAGGAGCCACGCTATTCCTCTGGGGAGTGGAGAAAAGAGACACGGGTCAGGAAGCAAGGGCGAACCAAACCAAACGGGCTGCCATCGAGTCAATGCCAACCCACCGCAACCCTACAGGACCCGGGAGGACTGCCCCTCTGGCTTCCAAAGCTGTAAAGCTTTATGGGAGTAGAAAGCTTTCTCCTAAAGAGCGGCTGAAGGTTTTGAACTGCTGACCTTGAGGTTCGCAGCCCAACACAGAACCACAATGCCATCAGGGATCCTGAATTCAATGTGCAAGGGCCCTCATATTGAGGGTACTTTCAAATGCAAGCAAAGCTAAGCTTAGTAATGTATGAATTGTATAAGACCAGGAGCTTCCGACTTGGGAAATGTTGACCCTGAGGACATCACATGTGGGACACACTTTGTGACAATCGGCTTCAGGGTAGCCTGCCCCTGCTGTAGGATCCTGGGAGTGTTCAGCTAGAGGGGAGCATGGCAAATTAACTTCCAGGAAGGGCTCCCTAGGCTTTGAGAAAAATCTCATAAGGGCAGGGAAAGGAGGCGGCTCCATCCCAGGGATGACTCTACACGGTTGACATGTTCTGCATAAGTAGCCCGAGTGTCAGAGCTGGGGCACACCTCATGCCAAGGGCTTAACTAGTCTGTCCTCAGCCACCTCCTCCAGCCAAAGGTACCAATCGGGCATCAGAGAGCTTCTGTGCCCCAGGAACTGCTCTTGGTTAACTGTGGAAGTCAGTGGGGAAGCATGGTTGGCCTTTCAGAAATCCTGGGCTGACTACATCACTTTATTTTTTTTATTTTTTTATTTTATTATTATTTTTTTAAATCAATTTATTGGGGCTCATACAATTCATCACAATACATAGATCAATTGTATAAAACACATGTATACATTTGTTGCCCTCATTATTCCCAAAATTCGCTTGCCTCTTGGGTTCCCGGAATCAGCTCATTTTCCTTTTTTTCCCCCTCCCCTTCCCTTCCTCCTCCCCTCTCCCCCATGCACCCTCCTTAATAATTTATAAATTATTATTGTATCTTATATTACACTGTCCAGCGTCTCCCTTCACCCACCCTTCTGCTGCCCGTCCCCCAGAGAGTAGGTTATATGTAACTCCCTGTGAACTACATCACTTTCAAAACAGTCCAGGCTACCTGCAATTTCTTTCTTTTTTTCTTTTTTTTTTGCTACCTGCAATTTCAACGTGGGTACATGAGACCTACGGTTCTCCTCAAGGCGAGGCCTGAGTCAGATGCAGGTAAAGCACGCCACTTCCTGGAGGAGAGGAGCACATGTCATGGTGATGGGGAGAGAACAGAACAATGAGAGGACAGAAAGCACCAGGCTGGGCCAGTGGAAATAAGAGCTAGTTCTGCAGGCAGAAGGAGAACTACCCCTGGAACACTGATGTACCGCTTGCTGTGGGCAAAGGTGGTCCTTCTTCCCCGGCTTCAGCTTGGGACACCCAAGCTGGGCAAATGGCCCTGAGGCCTTTCAAGACACAGCAGTGACTGTCTCCTGACCTAGGAAGTTTGTCATGTTCCAACACCCCAGAGAAGTGAGGAGGAATAGGGAGACTCCAGGATTTGCCGATCCTTATAATTAACTTGTGAACTACAGAGAGACCCTTCTGATCCAGGAGCAAACAGAGGACCAGACAGTTTAAAATTAAGAGGCTCGAGGTCACGTAGCGGGTCAGAGGTTGGATGTGGATGTAGGCCAAGGCTCCTCGCCTGCTCTGCCATCTGCAGCCCCGTGGGAACGGGGGCATTGCAAAACAAATCACTCTCTTAAATGCCAGATCATTCCTACCGCGGGAGGCAACTGGTCACCCAAGGGTTCAGCATGCGCTCCTGGCCGTGCAGACACCCGGGGACTTCTCTGAGCCTGGTTCTGGAGAACCCCAGCCCTGCCCTCGCTTGGCCAGTGTGCTTGTCGGGGCGCACACGGCAGTGCTGGAGCAGGGCCTTGGGGGGGGGGACACAGGCTCGGCAGCCACCGAGAGCAGCTGAGGGTTCCGCCCAGGGCCTGCTTCTGGGTGCGTCTCCTCAGCTCGGCAAGCTGAGCCACAGCATCCCAGCCCCTTCTGAGCCAGACTGAGACTCTGAACCCCATTCCCCCTTTCCTCATCTCTCACATGTACCCATTTATCTTAAATTCCCAGGGGGAGGGAGGACACTCTGGTGTGTGACTTACCATCACCAAGGTGACCAGAGAAGCCGCTACGGGTCATGGCTCCGATGGTTGAGCCACTACAAGGGAGAAAAGGCACTCCAATCACTTCCTGTACCCCGCTAAGAAAGGGCCAGGGAGCAGAATGGGGGCGCCGCTCCCCAAAGGAGAGCCTGCTCTTTGTTACATAATCACCCAACTTCCGGCTGAGATATCAGACTCCTTCCCCTGGTTCCACCTTTAGGAAAACCCTTGCAGATGGAGGAGACTTCCATGCCTGCTTCCCTCGAAGCCTCCCTTCGCCCAACTCAGGGAATTCCAGGTGTTCTCCCCTCTTCACAACGCTCAGGCAGGAAAGGTGAAGCCCTTCTCGCCACCGAGCTAATGACCAGGATTAGAGAACTTTGTGCTAAATCACTGCCAGACAAAGGCCGAGCCTGCCACCCGCCCACCTTCCAACCCCCTCGTGAAGAGGGACAAACTGGCCCAGGTACGTACCCCCTCTCCTTCCATGCTCCTGCCACAAGAAACAAGACTCTGATAAGATTCTGACCTGGGAGAGGGCAGTGTCACCTGGGAGGCGAGGTCATTCAACTGAAAGGGTCCCAGCAGTCAGGAGATGTACCCGGGTGGGACCACAGCCAGCCGCTTCACTGAAAGGCACTCTCCTCGTGGGTGGAAATGAGGTTAACAGAGACTGTTACACTATGTAACTGTTGCGATGCAGCTCAGAGGGGCTGCTACTTGTGAAAACATGTTAACAATGGATGTTTCTGTGGCTGCAGGAGCCCTTGGACAACGCTGCATCATCCCCGCCACGGAGAGTGGTCCAGGGAAAGTGGCCACAGGGTGGGCATCCCCAGCGTGGGAGCTTGTCGGAAATACGGACTCTGGCCTTACACCTGAACACCCTAAGAGCCCACACGTGATTTATAGATGTCTCCACGTTTGGGAAGCACTGCTCTCTATATTGCATAGATAATAATCTAGGATGATGATCCTGTTCGCCTCAATCAGTCCTAGGCCATTAGGACCTGGTGAGGAGTCCGCTGATTCCACCAGTGACCACTTGATCCATTCTGATTCTTCCTGCTGGCCACCCTCCCCAAGGGTGCGTGGTTTTCATTTCTCAGCTGAAAACCAGGAGAAGAGCGCCCTACATCGTCTCCCTCGGTGCTCCCCGCTGCACCTCGGGAGCTCCCGCGTGAACTGTGACTGCATTTACAGTCTTGCCCAGTTGCCCCGTCTCCCTAGCGGAGTTCCCTGCCGGTGCCTCTGGTATTTCCTGGGAGATATTCCCCTCCCCCTGACATGCCGCGACTCCCATTCAACCTCCCTTTGGGCTGCTATGGACAGGCACGTGACCCCTTGTCACAGGTACCACATGACAGTCCCCTCCACCTATTCCATGTGACACCCCTTTCATCCAGCTTCGATCCTGCACAGCTGCCGCCGGGTCCTTGCGCAGGTCCCCTCTCGCCATGCTGCGTCCCGTGCCCGTCCGCCCGCCCGCCGCGTGCTCCTCGGACAGGGAGCGAAGTCCGCACGGGGGTCGGCCTCCAGCCCCCCGGCTCCGTGGCAGCCCCCCGGCACTGCAGACGCCGCTGCCTCCGACCGCTGCTTTCTTACCTCCCTGGATCCCGAGGGCTCCGCGCGGCCGAGGGCGGGCCGCCAGCCCGGATCTCTAGGCCGCCGCTCCCACTCCCCCCTCGGTTCCGGGCGCCCGCGGGACTCCAGCCGCATCTTCCATCTCGACCCGGCTCCCGGGGCTGCCGGAACCGGAAGTCGGGTCCCAGCGGGGGCTGCCTTCCGCGGGGAGGGCGGGGCTGAGCGACGGACGAGCCCACCAATGGCGTCGAGCCTTAGCGCCTCTTCCCACCCCCTTCCGGAGGGCGAACGGGGCAGGCCCGGAGGCCAGCTTGGAGGTGGGCAGGAGCCACGCCTCCTTTAGCGGCCGCTTGCCCTCAGTTTTAAAGCGCCGGCACGTTCGGCTTCGATCCTTTCTAAGTTGCAGAACTCCAATCCTGGGCGCTTCCTGAATAGCTGCTGGTAAACAGGTCGCCATGCGTTCGGGGAATCTTCTGGCCTCAAGTTCAAATCTAACCTGTGACGTTTCTTGTTATCGACAGAGCCCAAGCTAGTAGGGGCCAATGTGCAGCAGGAACTTGCGACCAATTGTTCATGTGAGGTTTAAAACCAAACCAAATAAGCGGCCATCGGGTCAGTCCCGGCTCTGAGGGCCGCATCTGGAGCTCGAGGCTTTGCAGATCTTTGCCGGAGCAGACGGCCTCAAAAACGCAGGCAACGCCACGTTTGCCATTTCTTGTTGCTGGTGTTGTCACGTGAGGGAGGTTACGCAATATGTGCCCCTTTGTAATCGGCTTCTTTCACTCAGCATGATGTATAGGGACCAAGCTTCAATCGAGGTGCCACGGGTGGGGAGGGCGGGTCCTGGGTGATGGAAACAGCGCATTGATTAAGGGTAGGTTTGCGCGCTTGGTTGTTGCCATTGCTGTCAATACGTTGGACAGCTGTAAAAAACGGAACAGGCAAAAGGTGCGTGAAATACATAGATACAGCAATGACAGCCCACAAAACAAAAGAACCAGCTGCCCAAGCTGATTATGTTCAACCATGGGATTTGGTTCCCTGGCTTACAGGTTTAGGGTCTTAATTTCATGGGATGTCTCAGCTAATTGGCCTAATAACATGTTTAGGACTTCTCTTCTGCCTGTTAGATTTTTGTTAGTGCCTGGAGGCTTAAAAGCTTGCAAGCAACTTACCAACACACACCAGTCGGTTATAAATCACTGAGAGCAACAGAGGAAGAGAGTCAAGAATAGGAGGTGGATATGGAATGAGTGGTTAATTGCCTCCTTTACTATGAGACCAGAACTGAATAGTGCCAGGCTACTATTGCTGAACATTTTGATCAAAGATTCCATGGGTGAACCCTCTCAAAAGGGTAAATGTGGAACAGGAGATAAAACTGTCACCAACCCTAGACTTTCTAAGAGCCTGGAGGGTGAACGAATCTCAGAAACTATTCTCCTGTGGTAATCTTGCTTAAATATATTTATATATTTTTAAATATAAAACACTTAAGAAAAAAACCTTTCATTGTGAATTAGGTGGCAGCTAATTTAGTTTTTTCATTTAGCCAGTCACACATTAGGCTCTGACATGATTGTATATCTTCCCTAACCCTTCTGAACTTTTGATCTCAAAGAGTTTATTATTCTAAGGTGTTTATACTTCATGAGTATATTTCCTCTATAGAACTTATTTGGGGGGGGTCCTGAAATTTGAGCCGGTGTTTATACTTCATGAGTATATTTCCTCTATAGAACTTATTTGGGGGGGGGTCCTGAAATTTGAGCCGGCTGAAATTTGAGTTCATTTCTAAACCTGAAGGGTGACTAAGGGCCATAGTCTTAGGTAATATAAAGGATATTTTTAAATCTTTTTATCGTAATTTGAGCAGGAAATTTTAGAGCAAATTGGTTTTCCATTCAGCAATGTGCACATGTTGTTTCATAACATTGATTGCAGTCCCCACAATGTGACAGTGCCTTCTGGTCATCTGAGCTCATTTTTAAACCTTAACCCCAACATATTTGTGGGAAACGGAACCAAGAAGAGAGCGTATATAGGCGAATTCCTCAATGCTCATATTTAAGAAGTCTGGGAGACCAAGACTCTCATAGAGGGAGGCCTTCACGCTCATGGGTGGAGATGAATCCTAGTCACCTTGTCCTAAGGAAAAGTTATTCCCCACAGTGTCCCCTGTAATCATGCCTATTTTAAGGTGCTCCCTAAAAGCACGTGGTTGCTACTGTACACCTAAAGGTTAACTGCTTGAGGGTCATCTTCCTGAAGGCTGTCTGCCATCAAGAGCCATCAGATGACCCGACCCTAAGTAGGGCCCACTCCGTCCTGATAAGGAACATAGATTGATCCCCTGGAGAAGAGCTCAGGGACCCTTCAGGTCAAACCAGCTCAGAGACGACCAAAGTTCAGCCACCTTTTTTTCTCTTTCTTTTTGGTGTGTGTTTTGTTGTTTGGTTGGCTTCTGGCTGCTATTGATGCAGTTGGTCTTACAGGGTTGTGATTCTGTCATATTATGACATGCAAACCCCATGGACAAGCAGATGGATTCTGGGCTCCTACTTAACTCTAGTCCCAATTCAAGAACAGCTAGTTCTGATAATATGGCCCTGCTCGATATACACATTCATGAAATGATCACTGGAGATAAGGGTGCAGTAGCAAAGTGTGATGAAGAAAGCAGATGGTGCCTTTAAGGTAAACTGAGGCACAAGGAGGCAGACAAACATAACTGACAGGACAAAGGGAGAGCGGACGAGGTTCCATGGGCTAGCAAGTAGCCCAGGGAAGTTGTGCCTGGTGGTCAGGGTGCAGGGTTTTTAAAAGAAGGTGCCTGGGGGTGGGGAAACTGTCTGAGGCAGCAGGTGTTTCAAGCCGTCCTGAGAACAGTCTGTCGGCTTCTTGCGGTGCGCTGTGTACCGGAATGTGAGGTTGCATTCCCTGAACCAGGGTGTTCTGTCTGGGCTCCGTTTGGTCTGGCCAGTTTTCTGCTTTGAAGGGGGGGCCCTTCAATTCACCCGCCTGACTCCCTCCAGACAATGCCCAGCTATCAATCAGAATAGTGTCTGGGGTCTTAAAGGCTTGTATTCAAACAAGCAGCCACCTAAGCGAGGAGTCAACTAAGTCCACATGGAAGAAGCACACCAGCCTGTGTGATCCAAAGATGACAATGACAAAATTTGACTATAATAAGGAGAAAAGTATCAAGGCTAAAATCGTGAACACCCACTTTGTAGAAGGCTATGGCTGACAGTGGGAGCCCAAAACCCATCCGCAGGGTATCTGTCAGACTGAGCCGCTGGCAGATCCGCTCTAACCACAAGCAAGCGTCTCAAACAGCCTGACTATCAGGCATAATCTTGATCACGCTGACCCTAACTTAGTACTTGGCCAGTTGGCCTCCCTGTCGACCGGCCCTGAATTTGTTCTGGGTGCAAGTATCTCTTCCTTGTTCCATGACAGAAATGTCTTCCCTGGTTTTTTGAGTGTTGATGAGGGGTCTTTTCTTTCCTACTCATTACTTGTATTTTTGTCTTTATAGCATTATTATCTTATCCTGACCACCTTATTTCAATTTTGTTTTTTGTTGTTTTCTGTTGGGTTTGTTGGGTTTCCCCTGGTGGCTTCTCATGAGAAAGGATTCACACTGAAGGCTGGCTTGTGATCCACGTGAGTTTTACGAAGGTTAGAAGCAGTTTCAGGCGTGACAGTCAATGGAACACAAGCCAGGCAGAGTCCGAGGCCTGGTTGCGTGGGACGGTGGCCTGGCCATGCTGAACTGTACGGCAGCAGCTGGGAGAGAGCCCGCAAGAGAGAAAACTTCTGGCTTTTTCATGCCCCCCCAGCACCTCCTCCAGCCCTGTTGGGAGGCGTGGGCAACGATGCTGGTTAACCCCATTGGTTGAATTAAGCCCACCTGGCCTGGATGGGTCCCACCCCTTCCTGACTGGGAGCTTGAAGTGTGCATTCCCTCTAGCTTTAAGCAGCTTCCAACTTCCTGTAAGGCTTTGGCACATGGAGGGACAACCCCGAGTCCTACCTCCAGCCACCTACCAGGTTTCCCAGTTTGTGAAGCACCTGAGGAGTGGATGGGTGGTGATAATAACTATACAAGGGTTGATGAGGGATGCTGGGATGATGGGGGAGTGACAGAGAGGGAAAGGGGATTTCAAGAATAAAAGATGAAGGCGGGTGGGGTGGGGGAGGGAGCACTAGAACTGACTGTGATTGCACAATTCATTTTAAAGGCGCTTTAAATTGATATGGTAATGATTGTATAATTCTTCTTGCTACGATCGAACTATTGAATTGTATATGCAAATGATGTGCCAATAAAGCTGATTTTTAAAAATACAGCCGTAGTAACACCAGCAAGGAAGACACTCCTCAGTATGTTCCTCTAACCACCATGCGCTAGAAGTGGCCCAGGGGCTGCACGAGCCCGAAAATGAAGCTTAGGAGGCAGGAAGGGGCAGGACAGGAAGAGCAGACGGGGACACAGGGAAGAGCGCCGTGACCTTGACGAGATGGCAACCAGTGTCAGGAAACAAAGAGCATGTACATTGTTGAATGGAGCCCTAACAGCACCAACTACAATGGAAAGGGGAAAAGGAAAATTCACGAATCCAGTCGTTAGGTGCCGTGAGTCGGCCCCAACCCACAGCGACCTTGGGCACAGCAGAGCAAAGACAGTGCCTGGTCCCCCTGCACCCTCCGCACAATGGCTCTTAGACTCACGGCCACCGTGCCAATGTCGCTCCTTGAAGTTGAGGGCCTTCCTCCTTTCTGCTGCCCGTCTACGTTACTAGTCTCCCCTGACAACATGGCCGAGTGTGTGCGACAGGGCTCAGGCTGTACTTGTCCCAGACAGATGTGTTTTGTTCTCTTGGCACTCCCTGGTACCCTTCGATGTTCTTCGCCAGCACTTTAATGCAAATGTATGGATTCTCCTTCAGCCTTCCTTATTCAGTGTCCACCTTTCACATGCATTTGAGGACATTAAAACTACTATGGTTTGGGTGGGGCACGTTTTCACCCTGAAAGTCACATCTTGCTTCTCAACACGTTAAAGGGGCCTTGTGGAGCAGAGTGACCGAATGCAGTGTGTCCTTTTGGTCTCTTGACTGC